TATTTATTACTTCGACACTCCTGCACTTGGGAGAAGACATTAATATTTTAGTCATGTCACCAATTCACCAGTTTGATACTCATCGAAAGTTTTTTTAGTGTTTCAATATAATTTTTGGTAATTAAAATTAATTTTTAACGGTTGAAACGATCTTTTCCTAATATAATTATAACAAAATCAATAATATAGAAATTTTGTCATAGTAGGCGGAGCAATTGTGCCGATGGTAGGCGGGGCAGATGTGGCGATGAAATTTTCTTTAAAGCAGATCTGTGCCACCTATATTCTCCTATTATTGATTATAAATAGCCAGTGAAAATTCACCAGAAAGGAGAAAAGGAAGAAAAAGAAAAGAAAAGAGAGAGGAGAGATTTGGATTACTATTAGAGGTTTTTTTTAGTATTTCTTCGCGCGAGTAAGATATTGATTTAAAAAAAAAATTGAAAATATCAAAAATATCATAACCGTTAGATTTAATAGTGTTTAATTATGGACCTTTGATTTAATAGGATACAATAACGCTTACCACACTAGATTAAAACCCAAATCCATCTTCGCCCTTAAAACAATCTATCATTCGATCCTGTTGTGCCACGTCTGATCAACTTGCAGATCAAGTCAATCACAGCCAAAGGATCAGTTCATCCATGATCCAACGGTTCACAACCTTTAATTGCACCGGTGTACCGAGCTAACGTTCATACCTTAGCAAAACCTCAGACTCTCTCTCTCCTCTCGTCGGCGATTCTCTCTCTCATCCGATCTCCCATTTCTAGTTGTTTGAAGCCTTCAAACCACCACATAAAGGCTACTAGCCTTCTATAAAGCAAAACACCGACTGTTTTCAGAGTTTTATCCTTCCTATCTGGTCGAAAAAAGGTTGCGATTTTGTCAACCACTTGAAGCTTTAAACCGACGATTCTCCCTCATCAGCCATCAACAGTCATCTAAACCACCGTCATCAGAATCCTCTCCCTCAGATCTACTAGAATCAACCATTTTTTGGTAGGAAATCTCGCTAAAAAATTTCACCCCCTCCAACAATAACCGTGCGTGAGTTACATGCACCACTAGGGGCATTTTCATAATTTTTTAAGAAATTCAAAGGTATTTCAGTATGGTGGCACTCAAGTAATTTTTTTGGATTCCTAACAGTATTTTTAATATTTTTATATATAAGAATTTATAAATTTTCTTGCATGTTGTAAAACAAAAAAATTAAAAATAAATATAAAAGCAATAACGATGCAGTTTCAACACCCATCTTATCATGTTATCGTTCGTGGGTCCAAAGCCCAATTCTCAAGTATGGTTATACCTATTTCTTAACAATATCAAAACAATTTTTGTTTTATAAATAAATATTATTTGTCGACACGTCTCTTTTTTTTTTAGAAAAGGATGGTGTCAAAAATTTAAATACTAAATATGAATTATGTCCATTATTTCTTATGGTAACCCGGACATAACTCTCCAGACGTAACTCTCCTTTTTAGGGACAAATATCAATATTTTAGACAAGTCTCCTATTTTTTTAGGGACTGGTGTCATTTTTTGACATGTCTCTTATGAATATTGTTTGTCGACACGTCTCTTTTTTTAAAAAAAAAGGACTGATGTCAAAAGTTTAAATACCAAATATGAATATGAAAAAAGGACTGATGTCAAAAGTTTAAATACCAAAAGTCTTCTATTTTTAGGGACTTATATCATTTTTAACAAGTCTTTTATTTTTAGGGCCAATCCTAGGAATATCTAAGAATTTGAAGGTGAAATTAATGGAGAGAAGTTCTGTAAAGATTTTTCTTATTTAGATTCTTACATGTGCCCTATTTTTGGTAGAAGTATCGAATTCATTCTTCTAAAAACTAACTCATTACAATTCCCTATATGCCTTCATATGTCTTTCTTTTTTTCCTTTATATGATGCTCTTAATCCTCCATGATCACGATTATCTTTCTTTTTAGGTACTTTTTATTAAGTCTACCTTTTTTTAATAAGAAATGTTATAGATAATTATATATTGATAATTATGGCATTGATTTCATGAATGAGGGGTATCTCAATTATTGCATTATAATACTAAGCTCTATATACAAAATAATCAAAAATCGAATAAAAGACAACTAAATATAAGGAAGCCAAAACTAACAAGAATAAAATAAAAAATATAACCTAATTTTTGAAGTCTGGCTTTGATACCAATTGATGTGAACCTCTTAATCAGGTGGTCAAGCAACCCATAACAAAATAGATAGCAACTTAAAAAAACTAAAAGTTATATTTGATAGAACCTTGACCTAGAGGAAACCCTGTATCTAGGAACCAAGGGTATTGGAAAAGGACTTGGACCTAGAGATAACCTTATATTTAAGAACCCTAAGTATGCAAATGATACCACGAAACCAGTTAATCTTTAATAAGTTAGTGCACGATCTTTGTCCATACAAAAAAAGGTTGTTTTGACACAAACAAACAAAAAGAAAACTCACGTTTATTCTTTAGCTTGCTACTGAAATTTTCAGCTAAAAAAATAATATAGTCTCCTCTAACTAACCTTAATGGACCCTTTTCAGGTTGCAAGGTAATGAATTTAAACTAGTAATCAACTAATATAAGTCCAATAATGAAATAAACTCTTAAAAATATTTAATAGGATAAAACAAACCCAAATTAAAAAATAATTATTTAAAAATAAATAAATAAAAATATGATATAAAAAAATCTTCATGCCAAGATTCTTCTATGCAGCCCGAAACTCCAATTTTCGTATATTTTTAATAAATTTTTAGTCATGTATTCAAACACATTGTTCTCTTTGTCTAGATGAATTATTGGGTCTATCATATCTATTTGGAAAGCTTTAGATGTATAGTTTATAGCTCAACCTTAATCACAACAAACTTTCACTTATAGATCTAGATATGTCCCAAAAAGTACAAAAAAGTCTAGTATGATAGATTTGACAAGATTTATCTAGTAACTTTGACCCTTTAAAATAATATGTTTTTAAACTTTATTTAACTTTAAAATTTACTAAAATATAATTTTATGTGTCTAGTATCACTTTGTAGAATTTTAGCTCGTTCTGATAAACAGTTTGAAAGATATATTTAATCTTACAAAACTAATAAATAAATATTTTAAAATCAAATTTGAATTTGAATTGGTTCGTATTATTTTCAGTACATAAAAAAATCATGATACATGAGTGATTCTTATAGTTCTAGAACAAAATAATAGCTGAAGTTTAATGATTTCAAAGGATTAAATGACAGCTGGAAAATTGGATCTTTTGTCTTACATGATCTCCTCCTGATTTGTCTCTAATTGATAGCTACTATGTTCTTTACTAAAGTTGTTATTCATCTTAATGTTTTGCTTGACAGAGGAGAACATAAATTTCAAGGTGTTTTCTCTGTTTGTGTTCAGAAACAAAAAAGGAATTAAAAGGGGGAGGAAAGAGGAAGATGAGAGAAATTTTCTCCATAGACCAACCTTTAACATTCTTTCTGAGGAGACATTTGATGGAAATGTTATAAAATTTATAATTTTATTATAATAAAAATGACTTCATAGTTTTAAATCAAAGACATAAAATAGTAATTTTATCTTTAAAAAGTAATTTCATCAAAAATTTTATAATTTAAAATATTAAAAAATAAAATAAAATAAAATCATTTCTCTCTGTTATCTTTCATCTTATTTTTTATTTATCCAAACAAAAAATAAATAAAATGATTTTCCATTCATCTCATTTTTTAACACCTTTTCTTTCATCTTTCCTCCCACTTGCCTTCCCCTCCCACAATTTTCCCAAACACTACTATATCGGGGAGGAATCAGCTGCCACTTGGCTTAGGGTCCCCGAAATCACTAGATGCCAAGCACTCAGGTGACGTAGCAATAATTCGTGGCTCAGTATTGTCCGAGTAAGATAAGAGAAGGCCGAATCTATTGGTTGGTTGGTGCTTTTGTTTCTTTTCTTTTTTATCTCTCGAAGTAACTAACTGGAAGAATCTTCTTGTCTGAGATGCAGAATGAATATTCAAGTTAGCAGCATCAGTAGTACCATAACAAGAACACAGCAAAAGGCATCATCATCTCGAAAACCACCTTTCTGTTCCAGTAGAAAGCCTCAAGATCCCAAGGAAAATGGTGACACCAATGGTACGTCCCGTTAATTATAAGTTTTATTATTATAGTAAATTATATAAATGAAAGTTTTGTTATGTTCTTTCTTTCTTTTCTTGGTTTTAGTTAATTGTTTATGCTAGTTAGATTTAGTTAGGGTTTCGGCTGCTTTATTTAGGAACAGGACAGTTAGTGTCTTTGATATTTGTTCAATTCCCTTTTCCCAATTGTGATTTCTGTATTTATTCAAAAGATGTACTTCCCAGTGTTCAACTAGCAACATTGTCGGATTCTTGCCAGAACCCTGTGTTCTTTTTAGATAAACAACAGGCCACTTCCACAATGGTACATGCTTCTATTAGTTGCTCATTCTCCCTGCTCCGTGGTTTAGAGATAATGGGCATCCGATCAAATGAACTTGAGAAAATATAACTGTTAACAGTGACTCCTTTTTTTCAGCAAATAGATGCATTTCATGAAACTGAAAGCATTATCCAAAATAGTAGAACATGTTTGTACTATGAGGTTGTGTTCTCCCACTGGCATAAAGTATGATTTCCTTGTCTTATTTCTATGACTAATTTCTTTCTGTGTCGTCAAGTAAATTCTATCTTTGAATGACAGAACTGCAGTTTACGATGTCATTCTTTGTGTGTTCTGCTTGATCGGTAGTCAGATGTTTTTTAAAATCTTTAAGCTGGGGTTTGGAGCTTGAGATTAGACATTTGATTGATAACATAATTGCTTTTCCACCCAGGGTAATTATGTCCTATTAGTTTCTTCGAGGATAGGGTGCTTACGTTGGCATGGCTAGTTCAGAAATCTGATTTGTTTATATACCGAGGTTGATGATTCTGTAGGATGGGAAGAGGGGTTGAGGGCTTCCAAATATGTGCATAATTTCAATGTTTTCACTCGCCATTCAGCTTTCAAAACATGAAGCTGAGGCAATGTCACCCTTAATTGCAGAGTATGTTCATTCTGTCATTTCGAACTCCACTCAGCTTTCAAAATATGAAGCTGAGGCAATGTCACCATCATCTTAATTGCAAAGTATGTTCATTCTGTCATTTCGAACTCCTTGTTAAATTTGTAGTCATTAGAAGATTTGTACCTTTTCCATGGTGATTTCTCTGTTTATAGGTCCCATGTGGAACTGAAAGTTCTTACTTCCCTCTGGTTTCATTCGCTCTACTCGTGAAGGGGAATACTGAAAAGAAAAAAGAAGAGAAATCATGAAATAGGAATTGCCTACCAACTTTCCAGCTTTTCCAAAATAAGGAAAGATCACCTGCTTACTGCTCACGAAAATACTTGACCTCCACTTATGGTCAAGTCATCCTGTCATCTTTCTATCTCCTATTCATCAAATTTATGGCTTTACCGAAGGTTGGCATTGCTAGAGTTGAGATAGTAGAGTGGATCCAATATATGACCATTGCACTAAATTTTTTCACTGACAAAGCTTAGCCCATCATTTACTTGGAATAGTCATGAAAATAGCTATCAAGCTACTTCACGGCATCCTTATAGTTAGCTTGATTAGAGTCAATTCAAGCTGGATCTGTAGCTTTTTTTAAGGTCTGTAGTATTGATAACTAGCACTTGCATGTGGCCTTCCTTAAAGTTACCTATCCTGCTTCAGGTGCTCGTTGTCAATCAGTTAGCTATGTGAATAAGAGCAATGTATAGGCAAAGGCAGGAGGGGTAAGAAAGCAAGCTTGTGTAAGGGAAAGACGATAAAATTCTAGCAGAGAAAGCCTTACAAACTGATGAATTTTTCTTCTTAGGTATAACTCATTTGGCTTTTTAGGTTTCATAATCCATAGAATAAATGTAAGGCTGAATCATCAAATCATGCCTTTTTACACTTTGGATGTCATTGATATATATACATGTATGGGGAAAATGAGATTTTAGTCAGCCATGTCTAAACACTGGCTGGACTTCTCCAACGCATCCTTGAATATCATACAGTTGTTTGTGATGTAAAAGTAATGTCCCTCCATATCAAAAATATCCCTCAGCGAGGCTACATTTTATTTACATATATATGTGTGTGTGTTATTGCTGTTGCAAGGTCTCTATTTTGACATTTTTCTTCTGTCATTTGAGCACAATGTAAAAGTTTTAAAGTATTTGACAGCATTGGAGAAGCTTGTAAAAGATTGCATTACAAACTTAAGAGCACAGTCACATAATTAGGCATTTGTCTTCTGTTGAACAAAATGAAATGGTTAGTTCCACATGCATGATCATCAACTTTGAAAAATTTACACTCTCTGCTGCTACCCAATGGCAAATCTCATGCCAACATTATTTAATGAACTTTCCTCAGGTGATAAATTCTCAACAGACTGGGACAAGGCGTGGTCTAACTTTAGGAAGAAAGGGAAAAAAGCATTCTTCTCTCAGTTCTCTCCAAACAAGTACGTGACCTGGAATCCTAAGCGCTCGAACTACCCACTGTCTGAAGAAGTTGATCCAATCAAGAGAGCAGAGAGGTCAAACCTCAGGTTATGGACCAGCCCAGAGTTTACTCTAGGGGGGGCGATTATAATTGTCACGTTTCTTTTGGTTTACACCATTGTTGTACCATCTAGCGGCGGGTTCATGTTTGGCACGACTTCTGACTTGGATCGTAGGTTGTCCAAAGTATGCAGCAACACAGCAACACAACATCACTGGCAGAATGGGTTTTGGCAAGTTGGCTTGTGGTTTGATTGGTTTAAGACCAAGGCAACTCGTTGCGGGTTAGGTAGTTTTCAGCATTTATCAGCATTTGGTTGTCTTGGGTGAAAATTGTCCAGATTTGTTTTGGGAGATATTTCATTTGTAGCTTTTGTATTTTTTTATAATATAGATAGGCCAGAGAGTTGTGGAGCATGCAGAGATAATTGTGCATTGCATATATAAAGATTTTTGTGTATTCCTTTGTTAAAGGTCAATAAAGGCTGGGATTGTTTCTTGTAATACTTGTGCTTTTGCATTCTGTTTCTTTACTTATGTTGTATTTATTTGTCTATAATTAGGGGGAAAACGCTTAGGGGTGTGAAACACTTAAATTATAGAATAAATTGAAAGAAAGGTTAAGTTTAGTAAGAGAACTACACTGTTGCGTAGGGCTATAAAAATTTTAATGAAAATTTTTATCCTATGATAATTGGTATCATAGCTTGGTTGATTCTGATATTTTTTTTATTCTAAGTTTTATATGCCAATAGAAATTATTCAGGAGAGACTATATTTTTAAAAAATCTTACTGGTTCTATTATAAAGAATGAAGATTCCATCAATGACAAACATGAGCTCACTGTTAAAATGACGAAAAAGGTTGGTGGGTAGCATGGCAAACATGGGTCATAAGTTTTCTACCTTAAAGAAGGCATTGGCAAACACTATAAGTGGTAATGGCACTTCTAAGCTGAAGTTGTCAAAGCCGAAGACTTTTGATGGTGTGTAGAATTCCAAGGAACTAGAGAACTTTCTATGGGATATGAAATAATATTTTAGTGTTGCGAAGATTGATAGAGGTGAACAAATGAATATCATTATCAAATTATTTAGTTAATATAGTTAATTAATACATGTTGTTATCATTATTTTATATAAGTTTAATATAATTAATGAATAATCATTTATGAATGTATAGAAATTCACCCCCAAAAGTTGCAGATAATGAATTACTATAATGAGATTAAAGATTATATTAATATGCATCATCTAACTTAAGAAATATTAGTGGAGGAGGTATTAGATATCCATGCAAGAAGTGTAAAAATAAAAAGTTTCTCGATCTAGATGTCGTAACAATATATCTTTTACAAAAAAAAAATCATAGAGAAATACTATATTTTACTGTCTAGACGTTGAACCGTTACTATCTTTAACCATTACTATTTAGACATTGAACTGTTATTGTTTTCAAGTGTTACTGTCTACAGAGGTCACATTCCAACTTGTGCTCTAATTTTAACTATATTTAGAGTTCTATGACTCCGTTTCAAGCAACATTGGTCGTGTTGAAAAGCTAAAACATGGGGCTACAAGTCCTTTTAAAGAAAGAGAACCCAATTTTACCTTTAAAATAGTTAAAATTGCTTATCAACTAATCAGCCCTACTGCCTTATAGAATTAATTATGACCCAGTCTCGGTTCATGACCCATAACTAGAGTTATACAGCTTCAAATTGAGCAAGACCTATTTCATTGGTTATCTAACATCCAAAAGTATAATTTCTACGAGGAACCTTATCCTAATTCTCTCATCCTCCTACCTAAAATGTCACTGAAATTCAGAAGACAAGCCTATCCAAATTCATCATCCCCTTCCATTCACACATAACATTTATAAACTATATTTTCTGGACAAATTATCATGATTTCATGCCACCAAATCACATGCTACTCATAAATTAACTTAATTTTGACAACTGATATTTTTTTGATCAATACAAGTCTAAGACCTCTAATTTATAATTCAACATCAGAGCATCAATTCATAATCGAATTTATAATGAATTAAAAGATTATGTTTAGAATATTTTATCCGATAAGAATTAAGGTTTCAATTTTCAACCAGTCAAAGATTTTTTTACTCCCCTTTTTTCCTATAGATAGCCAACACTCCCCTCCCTCTTTTGTTCAAATTTTTCTTGTTAATTCATTGCCCCCAAGTGTTTATTCTACATATAAATCCTTAATTTTGGATGAGTTCTTGAAATTTTAGTGTTTTTCTATTAATTTGCAAGAATGAAATATAAAAACTTTTTCTTTTATTTCTTTTATTTCTTTATGGTTGCTGCAGATTTTTGCTGAGAATGAGAGTATTTATACTCTATAATTTCTCTTATTTACACTTAGACCCCATTTTCTTCAAGTATATTATTTTTCATAATAAAGTTATACTTCTTTTTATTTTTTTATAACTCCACCTCAGAACTTTTAGTTTAGCTTATTTTTCTCAATTTAATCAAATCCTCAATATTTCCGAGTTAATTTATAATATCTCAAAATATTTCATCTAGAAATTTATATCTCAAAAATTTCTGAATTTCTTTTTTTTATTTAATTTTATACATGAATTTCTTCGCTTTATTTCCATTTATTTAGTTTGCAATTTATGCAACCTTATTTTCTTGGGATTTACAGGTTAACACACTTTTTTTTATATTTTCTCTATTGCTATTTCAATTTAAATAAATTAGTAAACTATTTTTTTTAATTTCCAATTTTATTGTACTTGATGAGATAATATTATAAATTTTATATTTTATAAATTTCAAACTTAGTAACACTTATTGATAAAATTTTAAACATACATATATTCAAATAAAAAGAAATAAGAATACATACACTTCAATAGGAAAAAAAAAAAAAAAAAGCACCTTTGCACTATTGAAAATAGAGTAAAATACGTTGCTAGGAGTTCATCTTTGCACAAGATAATCTTTAGTACATACCTATCTTCTTCAGCTTTATCTTCTATATCATTTTTTATTATGTTCTTAATAATTTATTCGGCATTCAACAACTTTAAATTTTGATTTAATTAAATCTTTAAGATGTAAATCCATTGCATTTAGTTTAATTATTTGTGATACTATATATTATTTTTATTGATGTTTTTGTTTGACTTGAAATTTATAAAATATATTAATTAAGTATACAAGGAGTGTAATTTTAATTTCTAAAGAAATAGATAAATACATGACTTCTATTTAATAAAAATAATTACATTCATGAACTTATTAGTTAAGAAAATATATAGAATAATAATAATTCATAATTCGATAATTAGATAATCTTTGTATAATCACAATAAATTATACATATATTAATTTTAATATTTAAAGAAATAATAAAAAATTACCTTGATATATTATTTCTGTTATTATTTAATAAATTATTATTTTATTAATTAAATAACATCAATCTCAAAAATTTTAATTTATAAAAATTTAACTATATTAGCTAACATATCAAAATGATGATGTGCAATGAGTGTGAATTTAACAAAGTATAATGTAAGCAATTAATTTGAAAAAAAAACCCACACATTCAAATAACAAAAACAAAATTTGATGCGCTCAAATATAAAAAAAAAAATATTAAAAAGATTGCATCTCAAAATGTCATTAACTCATACTTTAATACTTATTACCTCTAGAATTATCAAGAATATAATAAATTTCATGTCAGGAGGATCTCCTCCCAATGCACGCGGAACCACAAAAATTACTAGAAACAAAATCTAATCATACACACCAATCAAATCTAGATTTTGACATACGGATTGCCTATTATTTAATGGAGAAGTCTTTTGAATATTAAAATAATTATTTTATTTTATTTAAAAAAATTGTTTAATACAAATATATAATCTAAAACCATAAAAAAAAAAATTACCATCATCTATTTAAAATTTAAAAAACATGCAATACCAAACAAGAGCCAAAAGAAATGCAACAATTACATTAATATATAAAACATCAACTACATGCTTTAATAGTTTATAAAATAATATGTTTGTGTATTGATGCAAGTTTATAAAATAAATATACTTGATAATATTATTGTGAATCAGCGCTAGATAAATAATAAAAATTAAAGGTATAACAGAGTAAATATTTTAGGATGGAAAAAAAACTTGTGTTAGTGATCAAAAACTTAGAGACTAAATAAAATAATTTGTAGCAATTCACAGTATCTTGTGAGGAAAAATACAGTATTTTTTTCACATGATTTAGCTATTTTGTAAATAAAAAATAAAAAAATATAAAACTAAATTCTCTACCAATTTAATAGTAAAAAAATCGATAAAGATAATTTTGGAAGGAAAAAACTCATGAGGAAAAACTTGTAGCAATTGACAATATTTTAAGAGGAAAATTACAGTGTTTTCTCCAATATAATCGACAAAGAGAATTTTAAAGAGAATCATGGAAAAAACAACATTTAGAGAAATATTGTAGCAATTTATAGTATTTTGTAAGGAACAACAACGCTTTTCCCATATGATTTAATTTTATTATAATTATGATTTTTAACTAACTCAATATTAAAACAAATTGACAAAGATAAGTTTTAAAAAATCATGTGAGAAAACACTGCAGCAATTCACAGTGTTTTAAAGAAAAAAATTACAAAACTAAATTCTCAATCAACTTAATATTAAAAAAAAATCGACAGATAATTTTTGAAAAGAAAAAAAAAACACAAAAAATGACAAAAAAACTATGTTGGAAACACTATAGAAATCATAGTGTTTTGTGATGAAAGTTATAGTGTTTCCCTACATGATTTAGTTTTACTTGTATTTATTTATAATTATAATTCTCAACCAGTTCAATAGTAAAAAAAAATTAACAAAGATAATTTTGAAAAAATCATAAGAAAAAAACTATGTGGAGAGATACATAGCAATACACAGCGTTTTATGGAAAACATATTGTGAAAAATTACAATATTTTTTTCACATAATTGAGTTTTATTGTAATGTTAAATTCTAACCAATTCAATATTAAAAAAATAATATCGACAAAGATAACTTTGAAAAAAAAACAAAAAAAAATCATATGAGGAAAAACTGTATCACAAAAAAAATAAAAAATTAAATTCTCAATCAATTTAATATTAAGGAAAGTTACAGTGCTTTTCTCATATAATTTAGTTTTACTTGTATTTATTTATAATTAAAAAAAAACACCATATTAATCCATAATATTTTAAAGAAAAAAATTATAAAGTGAAATTTTTAACCAGCTTATTATTAAAAAAATAAAAAAAACAAAAATAAT